TGCACAGCTGGGTTGTAGGGCAAGAATGGCATGCCAGCCAACAGGGCTAGAGGGGAGACTAGAAAGTGGATGAGGTGATGACTACTAGGTCTGCCCTAATTGCCCTTGTCCATCTCAGTGCTCTCTTGCAGGTGGGGAGCCCTAGGGTTTAAAGAGGAAGCAGGGAGCTCTAAGCTTCAGAGGGGAGTTCCACTCATCTGTCTCCAAGAGTGAAAGCTTCTGGTCACCTCCAGTTCCTTCCCAAGTTCAAACAGTTGACCTCCTTGTGTCTCCTGCTCAAGATTTGGCACCCTAAACGTTGCCCACTGTCCCATTCCTGCATTCTGTCAGTCTCATTTTATTCTTCTTCTTGAGATGCACTTAACTAATCAAATTTGGGGGGCTCTCCTTCTCAAGTAGTGCTAGGATGGGTGTCCCTACTCAGCTATTTTCCAATCCCCTCTCACATACAAACCCGAATGCAGTATATTGTTATGATTGTCCCATTCTATTAGTAGTGTTTTAATTCTCTTACTGTGCCCAATTTATAAATGAAACTTTACTGTAGGCATGCACAGGACAAAATATAGTTTATATAGGGTTCAGTACTATCCACAGTTTAAGCCATCCACTGGGGGAATTAGAACATATCCTCCATGTTGGAATTAGAACATATCCTCCATGTTGGAGGTCAGCAGGTAGCATGGTGGTTAAAGTGCTAGATTCCCACATGCCATCTGCAGTTCAAGTCCCATTTCTGGTGTCTGAAAAATCACACTGGGCCCATGTGCATGCATGTCCAAAATCCCGAGAGGAGAATAGAAATATGATAGTGACATGACCATCCCCCTTGGGGAGTGACTTCTCACTTTCTGTCTGCTTCTCTCTCTCTCTCTCTCTCTCTCTCTCTCTCTCTCTCTTTCTCTCTAGCAAACACACACACCATACCAAAAAAAACTTAAAAAAAGGCATACGTACCTGTGCATTTCATCCATAGCATATACGTTTGCATTTTTATTTAATAAAAATTCCACCATTTGTGGCTTGTCTGCATTTATGGCACTCAGAAGTGGTGTCATTTTTGCCTGTAAAACAGTTAAAACAAGTTACAATTCAAGAAGTTATGTATTTCTCAAGTGAATTGAAAAACCTGTCTATAACAGATGCTATCAGGGCCACAAGTGGTGTGGAGATTAAGGTGCTCGATCCCACAAGGTCAACTATGCAATTTGATCACAATGTACATGTGCATAAACATCGAAAATCCCAAGAAGAGACTGGGGAAGAGGGACTGAGGCATGGCCATCATCGCCCCTGGGGGTGATTTCTCACTTTCCCTCTTTCTCTGTCTTTCTCTGTCTCCCTCTGACAAAGTGCACATGCCCTATAGCAAAAACTAATAAAAGAAACAAAATGATCCTATGAACTTAAACATATATTAATAATAGAAAAAGTAAATAAAAAGCGGGCCCTTTCTATCACTCTATTTTCTCTTTGAAACACCCCTCCTCTGTCTCACCACATGAACTCCAGTTATGGCCAGAACTCATTCCACACATTCACCAGTTCCAAGAATCTTTACTTCTATGACAGCATTTACCATAGTACATTGCAGTCACTGCATTGCTCCCTATCTGAGCCAAGAAGAGCTTCTTTAGGGCAGGATCTATTAGATTTGCTATTGAAGGGGCTATTGCTGCCAGAATAGGATACTATGACTTAGTTGTTCTTCCTTCATTTCCCACTTAATCAGCAACTATTGAACACCAATCTGGCGTCCTCAAGTTCTCTAAAACTGATCTCCAGACAGGTTTACAATTCATTCACTGTTTCCCATACTGAGAATTATTCTTCCTGAAATTAAAGACCTCATTTGTCTAAATATTTAAAGTGTAAAACACACACATCCACGCATACACAATAAAAACAAAATCTTCATGATATTTCCCCTCTACTGTCTAATTTCAAAAACGACCTGGATATTTCTGATTCCTCATTTCCCTTTTGTTCCCATTTTTTCCTCTCATGCCTTGCATCTGAGAGTTAAATCACTTTTATGTAGTATTTTAAAGGAATCTGTCAATAGCATAAAGATTTCCATTCATTGTGAAATGTTTTTATTTTGTTTGAGTTTTAAGAGAAAGCCTCTTTTCAAGGCAAAAGTTGGTTTCCTATATTGCCTTACACTAATAATATAAAAATAGGGTAGAAAAAGATATTTGAATTAAAAAGTGTTGCCTTGGGAACCAGCAGTTAGC